AGCGCGGGGACCCCCGGGTTCTAAAACTGGGGGTTCAGGGAGGGGCTCAGAGGGCTCCGTCCTGGGGTTGCCAAGAGGAAGCGCTTTATATTAGAACGAGCCACACACACACAACCACAAACCACAGCAAAAAAGACGGGTTCCGGGGCTCTGTCCGCAAAAACCTTGACATGCTCTTTAGGGACGAGAGGGATTGGAGCCCGCATAGACCCGCAAAGCGTGAAATGTTTTAGTAACTGGCTGGCGCGTGCCGTGAAAATCGCTGCTTGAAGGGTATTGAGCAGGTCGGAACCAGGCGAATGGGTAACATTTGGGTCAATGTCATTGTCACGAGCAGCCCGCACTGCCCCCTGGTGGCCACGGGAGACATAGCTCCGTGCTGCGCGGCTCCCACCACACGGAGGTCTTCTTCCCAGGCTTGCGGTTAGACCAGAATCAATGCTGCAGGAGTCAGGGTTTGGGGGTGCCTTCTAAGGAGAAGTCATGGTCCCCGCCCTGGCTGGTGTGGCTCAGTGGATAGAACGTCGGCCTGCGAACTAAAGGGTCCCGGGTTCGATACCCGGCCGGGGCACATGCCCGGGGTTGTGGGCTCAATCCCCAGGGTGGGGCGCGCAGGAGGCAGCCGATCCATGGTTCTCTCTCATCGTTGATGTTTCTCTCTCTCCCTCTCCCTCTCCCTTCCTCTCTGACATTAATAACAATATATTTTTTTAAAAAGATCCAGAAGAGGCGTCAGTCCATGCACCGGACTCCTTTGCACACCTGCCCCCCTTGGCAAGAAAGGTCAGGATGCCTGGATGGTCAGGCCAAGGGTAGCCCCAAGGTGAGACGGGAGGGTCCTCGCCCACCTCCAGCCACCTCTCTTGCGCCCAGGATGGCACCGCCGCGCTCAGGGCGCGATATGTGATGAGGAACCACCCTCGATTCCTTCTCATTTATCTCTAGAGGTGAGAATCGCACCCCACTCCCCCCCCCGCCCTCCCCCCCGGGGCGCGTACACTTTGACTAGTAGCACCTTGGACACTTGTCTTAAGTGCATGGTGAACATTCCAACCGGGTTGAGAACACGACTCCCCTGGAAGCCGGACAGGCGGGCGGCCGTGTGAATCAACAAACAGGCATCAGGTGTCTACGACGTGTCAAGTCCCCGCGCCGGGCCCGGGCTCATTAAGCCGCTGCAGAAATGGAAAGGTTAGATGTTTGCCCCGTGTCCCCACGAAGGACGAGTGGGGTGCGCCGGGGGGCCGGCCGGGGAGGGGACCCCGCGGGCTCTGAGGTGGCTCCCCGGGACCCACTCCCTGGGAAACCTCGCCCTCCAGCTGTCAGTCTCTGCCCGGGCCACCCCTCTTCCTTGGTCTGGACCCTCTGGGGGAGGTGGCGCCCCCAGAATGAGGACATGCGTCTCCCGGGCCAGCAGCTGTCACCTGAGAAACAGGGAGATTACCCCACCAGGCGACAGGCTTGTTGTAGGGAAACAGGGGCAGCTCACATTCCCTCCTGCGGTGATTAACCCAGGGAGAAATGTGGCCCGATCCCAGCGCATCCACCCTCCGCCGCTGCCCACCCGGACGGGCTGAGCCCGGAAGGCCCTGGGGGAGGAACCTGCTGGGGTGTGTGTGTGTGTGGCCGGGGGGTCTCCTCACCTTCCCGGGGTGCGGGGTGGGGGGCTGGAGAGGGACCTCACGAGGGCGTCCTGGGCTGCAGACCCTGGCCCCCTGCCCGGGCCTGGGCGAGAAGCAAAAGGCTGCAGAAAGTGAGCCGGGCCCCAGCGGCGGCGGTGTCCTGGCCACGGGCCCGGCGCCGGCAGAGCCCTGAGGTCACCGCCGGCGTCCTCCCCAGCCGCCCCGGCCCTGCTGATCCCAGGAGACCCGGCAGCACGGAGACACTAATCCCGTTTTTACACTCGCTTGCTTCGCACTTACGTACCTCGCATTGAACTCCCAGCTGGTGGTTTCAGAGGCTTTCCGCCTGGGCCCTTGAGGAACAGAGGCTTGGGGGGGGCGGGGGGGGGGGAGGGTGACCAGGGAGCTGCCACGCACCTGGCATCGCAGCCTCTCTCTGGGCCTCAGTTTTCCCACCTGGGCAATGGGTTGAACAACACCCGATGCCCCTCACTGCCTTGGATGGATAAACGAGAGGCCCCGAGGGAGGGTTTGCAAAGTGGTCCAGGGAGACAGGTTCCTTCCGTCTGAATCTCACACCCGTCTTGTTCGCTTATCCAGGATGCAGAGGTCATTTTTATTTTTATTTATTTAAAAAAATACATATTTTTATTGATTTCAGAGAGGAAGGGAGAGGGAGAGAAAGAGAGAGAGAGAGAGGGAAACATCCATGATGAGAGAGAATCGTGGATCGGCTGCCTCCTGCACGCCCCACACTGGGGAGGGAGCCCACAACCCGGGCCTGTGTCCTGATTGGGAATGGAACCGTGACCTTCTGGTTCATAAGTCGACGCTCAAACCACTGAGCCACGCCGGCTGGGCACAACTGGCCTTTCCCAGAGGCCACCAACCCCGGCAGCTGCCGTGGGCTCGGCCTGCGACCGTTTCCAATCAAACTTCTCGGACAAAACAAACTGCGCGAGACAAGGCCTGGGGGCCCGTTGGCGGAGTCTGCGGGCCGTGTTGCTCCTTTTGCCCCGGGGCCAGCTGTCCACCCACGGGCAGTGCCAGGCGGCCTGTGACGGGCAGTGGGGCTCGCACTGGGTTTCAGGGTTTGTCCTTGGAGGGGTTCACCCTGAGCTGGTCCTTGGGGGCCACGGCAGGAGCCTGCCGGGCGGCTCGGCCAGGCCCTGGCTGCCATGAGGTCGTGTTGATGGGGCATTAAAAATAGATTGCAAACAAATACATCATTCTCTTTGGATTCCTGGCCATTTGCCTCTGCCCTCGCCTCCTGGGGGCCCTGGAGAGGAGGGCTTGATGTGCTCAGATTCCCTGGGGCTCTGGCCTCCCCGCCTCCCCGCCTCCCCGCCTCCCCGCCTCCCTGCCACGGGTGACTGCCTGCCCCGTGTTCCAGCATCTCCTCTCCTCCCCGGGTGGGTGTCCCTGGCGGTCAGCAGCCTGGGTGGCTCCTCAGGCATGAGAGCTGAGAGGCACTAAATCTTCTCCGTCCGCCAGGGCGCCGCCCGCCCCAAAGTCCTTCCACAGGGAAGCTCTGTCCCTCCTCGGACATTGGCCTGGGTGGGCGAGGGGCTCGACCCCAGCTCCCGCGGTCCTGAGACAGACGCCCTCTTGCCCTCCTGCCCGCCACATGCCATGCGTTCAGCGTGCTCCGGTCGCTGCCTGGGGGAGCCCATCTCCTGGCGGAACACCCAGGGGTGAGGGAGAGAGAGAGGAAGGGGTGGGTGCCGCGAGGACGCTCAGAGAGGGGGAGGAGGAGAAGGCCCTGTCCCCGGCGAGCTGGCGGGGCTGTGTGAGTGGCAGGAGGGACAGGGGGACAGGACCAAGGCCCAAACCTTGGCCAGCGGCCTTGCGTCTGTGGCCACGACGGATGGGGGGAGGGCAAGCGGGCAGAAGGTTGAGAGGGCCTGCCACCAGCTGTGAGCAGTGGAGCTCGGCAGGGACACGATGGCGATTCGGGCACAGGAGGCGACCGCAGGACCAGGCTCAGGGGCAGCAAAGGAGGCCTTGGGTTCGAGGGCCGAGAGCCCAGTCCTCGGAAGCACGCGGGCTCGGACGAAAGCACGACCAGGGGGACTTGCTCTCTCTCGATCAGACCCAGGCCTGGCCGGCGGGGCTCAGGGGTTGAGCGTCGACCTATGAAGCTAGAACCAGGAGGTCACGGTTCGATTCCCGGTCGGGGCCCGGGTTGCGGGCTCCATCCTCAGTGAGGGGCGTGCAGGAGGCAGCCGGTCCATGATTCTCTCTCATCGTGGATGTTTCTCTCTCTTCCTCTCCCTTCCTCTCTGAAATCAATAAAAATATATCTATTTTAAAAATTCTCACACTACGCACGAGGTCGGAGGTCAGTTTTCTCATCCCTATAATTTTTGTAAATGAGCCCAGGAACCCCCGCCCCCACCTGAGGTCTGAGATCACATCGGCCCCAGCCTCCAGCAGGCTGGGAGGAGCCAGTGAGCCCTGCCTCGGGGCACAGAGGAGCCATTGTGGGGGACAGAGAGGGACGCCCACTGAGAAGGTGACCACGGGGGGGGGGGCGGGGGGTCTCGGGGCAGCACCTCCAGCCCCAGCCCCGAGAAGACCCGGCGAGAAGGCCCCGGGGAACCTTCCCCAGCGAGGACGGGAGACCCAGCCACCGTCTCGGCCACGGACACGAGACGGGACCACGGACGGCCCTCGGGCCCCGGCTCCCTGCAGCCACCAGGCCGGAGGCCCTGTCAACAGGTCCCTAATCGGGTTCCTCGGGGCACCATCGGTCACCAGGCAGCAAAGCCCTTTCCGCCTCGGCCTTAATGAGGCTCAGCCGCCCCTGTCAATCTCCCCGGAGCCGCGTCCGTCTAGACCGCGGCTGACAGGTGGCCCCTGGGACCAGAGGTCTCCGTGGAGCCCGGGCGCTGCCCGCCGGGGGCTCGTCCAGAGTGAACTGCAGGCCGGGGCTGGGGGGCAGGGGAGCACGGAGGGTCCGGGGAAGGGAAGTGGGGGCCTGGGGAGGCCGGCCCCTGGGTTCGAGGTCACTCGTGCAGGCCAGCGGGACGTCTGGGAGGTGTCATTGAGCTCACACACCTGTCCTCGCACACCTGTCCCTGCACACCTGTCCTTGCACACCTGTCCTCGTGAGGGCTGGGATACACTCCCTGGCACCCTCTCCCTCCTCCTTCCTTCCTCCTTCCTCTCTCTCTCTCTCCCTTCCTTCCTTCCTTCCTTCCTTCCTTCCTTCCTTCCTTCCTTCCTTCCGTGGTCTTTATTGCCCTCTCCCCCTCCCTTCTTCCTCCCTCTTCTGTGTCTTTGGCCCTCAAGGAAGAAGCCCTTAGGGGACCCTGGCCAGGACTGCAGCCAAGGGGACCAGCTCTCTCTCGTTCTACACATGGGAGACGCCCCGTGATGGTCCGGGTAAAGGTCTCCGTGTCCACCTGACCACTCGGCCACTGGCCGGGCTCCGGCCACGGCCCACACTCCTGGAATGTGGAATTTAATCTTCGGAGAAGCAACGGACACTCATCCGGGGCCGCATTGGGAAATCAAACGGGCGGGAACGGGTGGCGGGGAGAACGGAGGAGGAGGAGGAGGAGGAGGAGGAGGTCAAAGACGCCCTGTTTATCTGGGACCAGAAGTCCCGGCGGCGGGCGTGGCAGCCCCGGCCCCCCCTGCGCACGCCTCGCACACCAGCTAGCAGACGACGCCCACAAGGCGAGAGCCCTCCTCTCCCTTCACTTCTTATTGATTTTAAATATATTTTTATTGATTTCAGAGAGGAAGGGAGAGGGAAAGAGAGAGAGAGAAACATCCACGATGAGAGCGAATCATGGGTCGGCTGCCTCCTGCACCCCCCCACTGGGGATCGAGCCTGAAATCCGGGCCTGTGCCCTTGATGGGAATCGAACCCGCGACCTCCGGGCCTGCCCTGGAGTTTCTTCAGTGGGAGGCTGACAGGCACCTCTCCTCCCTGGGACCTCAGGTGCCCGATGAGCCCTGCCCAGCTCTCTGCCCAGCCCGCAGCCCAGGCCCTCCTGGGTGCCCTCCTGGGTGCCCTCCTGGGTGCCCAGCTCTGGCGCGGGGCCCGGGGCCAGGCCGCTGGGCAGGGATGGGGTTTCAGCCTGAACTTTACGGCCAGCTGTGTGGCCGGGCTGCTGGGAATCTGAGAAGCCGGTGCCAGAGGGATGACACTGACCCGGACAAGGAGACGGACGCTCTGCCCTTAAACCCCAGGCTGGGCCCGCAGCGTGGGGCGTCCTCCCCGGCCCCGGCTCGCTGGCCCCCGGGAGCGTCCGCCTCTGGCAGCGAAGGTGGGGACCTGCCGCGTTCCCTCCCGCGGGGACGCCTCCCAGGAGGGGGCTAGGGTTACGCCCGCCGCAGGGAGAGGCGTGTGAAATGTCACCAGCCACACGGCTCTGGGCAGCGGGAGGACCGCTGAGAGCACCTGTCAGCAGCTCGCGTGGTGGCCGGAGACTTCCAGAAAAGGCCGGGCCAAGGCTCGGCAGCCCCTCCCGTCCGTCCGTCTGTCCCTCTGCCCATCGCAGGGGCAACTTGGCATCTGACCCAGGACCCGGCACGCAGAGGACAGCGGGCACCCTCGTGCCCCGGGCGCTGCGCGTCCCCGAGGGTGGACAGAGGACGGAGGCTGGCGGGGACCCCTGGACCCAGCTTGGTTCTGGGAGCCCTGAAACTCGTGTCTATCTGTCTATGGAAGCGAGGGGGACCCCAGCTCTGTGCAGGGCAGGAGGCACCCCCAGTGCGGCCGGCTGGTGGTGTCTGGGCTTCAGGGGAGAAGTAACGGCTCCTGGGGGCCAATGGGGCCCCTCATACGCAGAAGGGCTCCCCCTCCCCGTCCTGGGGCTCAGGAGGTCCCCGGGAGACCCAGGCCACCCGGCGACAGAGACACTGAGGGGCGACGAGACTGCCTCCTGGGGACACCCTGTTCCACCCGTTTCTGCCCTGGGCCAGGGCGAGCTTTTAAAGATGCAAATTGGGCCCGGCCGGAATCAATAAAAATAAATAAATAAGAATAAAATGCAAATTGGGCCCAGCTGGCATCGCTCAGTGGTTGAGCGTCGACCTATGAACCAGGAGGTCACAGCCTGACTCCCGGTCAGGGCACAGGCCCGGGGTGTGGGCTCGATCCCCCGTGTGGGGCGTGCAGGAGGCGGCCGGTCCATGATTCTCTCTCATCACTGATGTGTCTCTCTCTCCCCCTCGCCCTTCCTCTCTGAAATCAATAAAAATAAATAAATAAGAATAAAATGCAAATTGGGCCCAGCTGGTGTGGCTCAGTGAGCTTCGACCTATGAACCAGGAGGTCAGGGCTCGGTCCCCAGTGTGGGGCGTGCAGGAGGCGGCCGGTCCATGATTCTCTCTATCATTGATGTTTCTCTCTCTCTCTCCCTCTCCCTTCCTCTCTGACTTCAATACAAATATCTTTAAAAAAACATTTAAAGCTGTGAATTGCGTCCTGTCCTCCCTCCAGCCAAAAGGAGGCTGCTTCGCCCTGAGGACAGAGACCAAGCCTTCAGTGATTCCCAAAGCCTCCCTGTGCAATCACACCTCACCCCCCCCGCCCCCGTGTTCCTGGCACCCCCAGCCCCCCACTGTTGGCCGGATCCCCGGGGCCTGCAGGGGCCTGGTCTGCGCACCTGTGAATTCCGGGGCCGACACGGGGCAGGTGCTCTGCGTGTATTTGCTGAATAAACAAGACACCTGCCCCTGACCCACAGGATTCGAAACACGGGGTGCGGGGGGGGGGCACCCGAGGCCACGCGTCCACACACACACCCCTCCCCCACCTCCGAGAGCACATGGGCTCTTTGCTCACCAGGACGGGGGACCCTCAGTGTCCCCTCGAAGGCAGCACGGACCCCGGTTTCCTTGACGTCCTTTGAAGTCTCTCTGGACCCTGGCAACACCCAGCCCTCCGACCGCACCTGGAGAGCAGGTGGCTTTGTCACCTCGTCCCCTCGTCTCCTGCCCTCCGCTCTCAGGAAGAGGCTCTGGGACCGGCCCCGCCACCCCCAGTTCCCACCTTCCCTCCCCTCCAACCCGCCATCCGCCCAGCTGGCCGGCCTCCCCTTCTGTCCTGAGAAAGCTCCCCTCCCCCAGGAAGGCCTCCTGGCTGCACGACTCCCAGGGCCTCCTTCCGTGGAGGGGGGTGGACCCTCCGCCTCAGGTGGTGGTGTCTGTGGGGTCCCGCCCTCCGGCCCGTCTGGGACTGGAACTCGCTCCCCACCTGTGGGGCCTGTGTGGGGGCGCGTTGGGCTGCGATTCCCAGGGGGACTGGCGGCTTTTATGTGTCGTCTGTGTGACTTAGCGGGATCCGGGGTCCCCGGGGACCGGCTTAGCTGTAAAGCTGGGGCCTCGGACAATGAGACGCCCCCGCGGAGGGGGGTCATCCAAGTGGCACAGCCCAAAGCAAACACCCCTAAGCCGGCCCGGTGGCCTGGTGACGAGCCGAGGGCTTTGCAAGGCCAGGCGTTGGAGGAACCAGATGTCCCGGGACCCTCCTTCCATCGCTGACCTCTGGGAGGGGGGGCCCTACGCCTGGGGGGCCTTGTCCTGCCAAGCCCGGCTGGAGGAGGAGGAGGAGGAGGAGGAGGAGGAGGGAGGCGGGGCCAGTGGGAGGGGCCGAGGAAGCCCAAAACGGCTGGGCTGGCCGGCGTGGTGACCTACATCTGCCCCAGCCCTGCCTGTCCACCTCAGTCCCTGCAGAGCCCCAGGCCGGCGCGGCAGCTGGACGCGGAGGAGGAGGACGTGGAGGAGGAGGACGCGGAGGAGGAGGAGGCAGACAGGAGGCAGGAGGCCAGCTGTGCGCACAGGTGAGTGGGTCCTGCCCACCTGGCTGCCCCCCTGGGGTGGGGGCCGGGCACCGAGGCGGACGCCTGAGTGCTCTCTAGCTTGTGCCCTGGCGAAGGGGCGGGCAGAGGGCAGGAGGTTCGCCCGGGGACATCCCCTGGCGGCCAGTCCCGCCCCGGGGTGCATGGTCCCCCGTCCGGGCAGCGGTCCGGTCTGGGTGCTCCCCTCGGGGCTCCCCGTGGCTTAGGGCGCGAAACGGGGAGCAGGTTAAAGGTCGGGCGAGCTGTCCAGCATGAGGAACCGGGGTCGGAGTCGGGACATCTCCACGCGGCCGAGGGCCCCCAGCTGAGGAAGCAGAGTCTCGGGAACCTGGGTCCCAGGGCTGAAGCCACCGGGCGAGGGCAGGGGGCAGAGGGAGGGCCGCGGGTCCCGGTCCCGGGGCAGAAGCCTCATTGGGGGGCTGGAATGTGGACACGAGGGTTCATCCCCCCCCCCCCCAAACCGTCCACGGGCTCCAACCAGCCAGCCAAGCTCTCGCCGATGTGGCCTTGACCTTGCACCAAGTCTGGCTTCTTCCTGAAGAGCAGGGGGCTCCCCAGGGTGACCCGGCTTCACGTGGGAACCCCCCCAATCCCGTGCGTAGGGCTCTGCGCCTCGCTCCTTGTTGGCTGTGCCCTAGAAGCGGGGAAGGGGGGGCGAGTGGCTGGGGGGGGGGCAGCTGGGAGCCGGGGCTGGGTTAGCACCAGCTCTTCATGGTGACTAACGGCCGGGCTGGTGGCGATGATGACAGGTGAGGGAGGTGACAGCTAGGAGACCCGGGCTCCAGGGTGGGGTCCCGGCCGGGGGCCAGGTGGCCGTCACAGGCGGGGGTGGGACGGGGCCCGGCTGCCAGCTTGGCGGCCGCCCTCCGCCCTGGCGCTCCCTCGTGACTCCCCGCCCGCCCGCGGCTCACACGGTGGCGGTGGCCCTGTGACCGGGCCAGCTCGCCCTGGCGCACCGCGGCATTCCTGCGTGTCGGGGCCGGGGCCGGCCGCCGTGGGGCCGGCGAGGCAGCGGGTGGGCAGCTGTGAAAGGGAATGGGCCGCGTGTGCAGGAATGTGCCGTGCCAGGCGGGCCCATCCCCAGGACAGGGCTCCCGGCAGGAAACGGCATCTGGGGAACGGAACGCTGTGGCCGCCAATCGGGGGACAGCCCCGTCGGGGGCAGGACGGCTGGGGAACCCTTTCAAGACGGCCCCTCCCCTCCTTTCAGGAGTCTCTCCCGGCCCAGACCCTGTGCCCTCTCCCGGGGGGCACTTCCCCGCGGCCACGATGGACCGGACCGAGCGAGAGGAAGCTGGGGGGACGGGTGGTGGGAAGAGGCTGGGGTCACCAGTCCTCCTGACGTGATACCTCGCCGGCCTCGGGGGGCAGACGGATTCACGGGGACCAGGGCCTGGGGGCAGCCAAGTGGGGGGCTTCCTGCAGGCCTGGCCCTCGACGGGCTGAGCCCAGACAGGCTGAGGGCGGGAGGGAGGGGCTGCCGGGCCCCCTGGGAAGCCTGTGTGTGTCCTTGAGAACGTCACGCCCAAGGTCAAGGCCGCCAGCCCGGCCCGCGTGGCTGGGTGGTTGAGCATCGACCTCGGACCCAAGAGGTCGAGGTTCAACTCCTGGTCAGGGCACATGCCCGGGTTGCGGACTCGATCCCCAGGAGGCAGCCGGCCCATGATTCTCTCTCATCATGGATGTTTCTCTCTCTCTCTCTCCCCTCCTCTTCCCCCTCCACCCCCACACCCGCTTCCTCTCGGAAATCAATAAAAATGCATTTTTTAAAAAGTCGAGGGAACCAGGCTGTCGGAGCAGGAAAACCCGGGAAGCCGGGGGCTTGGGCTCCTGAGGCTTGAGGAGGCGGCCTCGCCCTGGGCTTCCCCCCGGGGGCCAGGCCACCCCACGGGGTGAGAGCTCAGCCCACCTGTCCCCCATGCCTGGGCCACTGGGCCGCATAGGAGCCCCCCAGCCTCCGGGAGATGGGTGTCGCCGGGGCCAGGGACCTGCAGGAAACCCACGTTTGCTGGGGTTGGACAAGCTTCCAGGGGCAGCGGCAACTGGACCCGGGTCCCCCCAGATACGGGCCGGTGCCCTGATGCTGTGGGGGGAGGGCCGGGGTGAGACCCGCCGACCGCCCGCCCGCCCGCCCAGAACCGATTCCTCCTCCTGTTCCCAGGACCCATCGCCCGCCACCCTCAGGAGCCCGGGAGCCAGACCATGGCAGGTGAGGGGCGGGGCGGGCGGGGCTCAGGGCCCTGGGAGCTCACCTGTGCCCACAGTCCCTCGTTTCCACTTGGGGTTTTGAGTTGTTTCCCTGAATAAAGGGGTCCCCCTGGCCGGTGTGGCTCAGTGGTGGAGCATCGGCCCATGAACAGGAGGTCACGGTTGGATTCCCGGTCAAGGGCACACGCCCGCGTTGCACGGGATCCCCAGTGGGGGGTGTGCAGGAGGCAGCCGATCCATGATTCTCTCATCATGGATGTTCCTCTCTCTCCCTCTCCCTTCCTCCCTGAAATAAATACAAATATATTCTTAAAAGATAAAAAATTAAAGGGTTCAGAGCCCCCCCCCCCCCGCGCCCCCACCTCCCCATGCAGGTCCTGCTTCCCGGCCAGGTGCACCTCCCCCTCTCCTTCTCCAGCTTCTCCCAGGGACACTCCCGGGGGCTCCCCAGGGGTCCCCTAAAAAAGTCAGACGTGCCTCCCACAGGCCGGAGCTGCGCGTCTGTCCCACCCAGCACGGGGCCAGGGAGCCTGTCCGCGGTCCGTTCTCCCCTGTGGGGAGGGCCCCTCACGAAGGGGGGGCAGGCCCATCTCCCTGTCTCCCGTGTCCACAGGGAAGTCGGTCAAGAAGCACGGGGTGACCACCCGGCAGCTGGTGGACAAGGTCCCCGAGGGGTGCAGCCTGCCCGACTTCGAGCAGAAGCCGGTCACCATGGCGCTGGCCGAGGGTGAGGCCCTACATCTGGGGGGGCCCCTGAGGGAACCCCGCTCCCGCCTCCAGCGTGCACAGCCCCTGTCCCCAAGTCCTCACCAGCCAGGCCACATCTGCCTGCACTGGGGGAGGGGAAAGGGGGTGCCTGTCTGGGTCCCCAGAAGGCGATGTAAAGGTCTAGGGAATGGACACTGGGTGGGGGAGAGCAGAGGGGGCCTTGAGGGGGAGCTGCCCCAGCTTGGGGTCTCCCTGAGGCCAGGGCCCCATGTCTCAGGACCAGCGCCTCTGGGCACCCAAGAGCTACCCCTTCACATGACTGTCACTCCCACCCAGAGAGTGACACGGACCCACAAAAAGACCCCCCCCCCCAGACTTGGGAGAGTCCTTCAGGCCCAAGAAAAGGTCCTTCCCTCCGGGGCCCTGTTCACTCACCGTGGCCTTCAAGGTCCCCCGGCCCTTGCCAGGCTGGGACCGGGCACCTGGACTGGCACGGGGACTGGGCACTGGGGGAGCCTGCCTCCTGCCCTTGAGTTGGGGATGGCAGCTGGACCCCCTTCCTGACACGGGGTGCGGGGGGCGGGCGGGATGCCTGGAGCCTTGAGGGTGGCACACAGCGGGCAGCTGGATAAAGCGACCGCCCCCCCGCCCCCGCCCGCTGCTCTGCCACAGGGAGAAACGCCATCCTGCGGGCCGTGGTCTGCGGGGAGCCCGCGCCCCAGGTGCGCTGGCAGAGCAGCCAGGGGGACCTCAGCAACTCCAGCAAGTACCAGCTGCTCTCCGCCCCGGGCAGCAGGGAGCACGCGCTGCAGGTGAGAACCCCCTCCCCGCCCCCCCTCAGGTCTCCTTCGGGCCCTCCAGGGCTCCCCGGCTTCCCCCGCACCCCCAGGCCCCAGAGGAGGCTGCGTCCAGGAGGCCGGACTGGGCTCTGAGGCTCCAGGTGGCCGGAGGCAGGTGTGGGCCCGGCAGGCTCGCAGTACCTCCCCCGACCACCTGGGGGCGCTGCGACCGACGCATAAGGAAAGCTATGGAGTCAGGCGGCCGGGTGACAAGCCCAGGGGCACCCCGTCTTTGATGGACAAGCTACTTTCTTTTTTCTTTTTTTTTAAATATATTTTTATTGATGTCAGAGAGGAAGGGAGAGGGAGAGAGAGACAGAAACATCCATGATGAGGGAGAATCATGGACCGGCTGCCTCCTGCACGCCCCCCACTGGGGATCCAGCCCGCAACCCGGGCCTGTGCCCCGACCGGGAATCGAACCCTGACCTCCTGGTTCCTAGGTGGACGCTCAACCCCTGAGCCACGCCGGCCGGGCAATTTGGATCTTTATAACATCGTTCGCCGGCCGTACGCAATGATCCGCTTAACAACCAGCCTGCCCTGTGTGGTCAAATACTTCACGAGCTCACGTCTAATGCCTTGGCGGGCCAGACCCAATGATCTCTCGGGCCTCATATGGCCCTCGGGCCGACGTTCCCCACCCCTGGGGGGGCCTAGCCCACAGCCAGGCCGAGTAACAGGGGAGGGGGGAGTGCCAGCCCCCCACCCCCTATACCCCCCACCCCCCATCCCCGTGCTTGGCACCCCCTGCAGATCAACAAGCTGACGGGCGAGGACACGGACAAGTACTACTGCGTCGCCGTGAACCCGTACGGAGAGGCCGTGTGCTCCGCACGGCTCACTGTCATCGAAGGTGGGGTCCCCCCCCGCACCCCGCCTGCCTCATCGGTGCTCAGGCCCTTGGGGTGCCCAAGAGGAGTCAGAGGCCTCGCTGCTGGGGGGAAGGGGGAAAGGGGGGGCATAAGTGATGGAGACGGGGGTTGTGAATGGCTGCAGGTCCAGCCACACAGCTGGTTGGCAAAGTGGGGCCTCATCCTGACACGGCAGCTCTCAGGGGAGGAAAGAGCAGCTGCCCCTCAGATGGGGCTCAGCTGTGGCCCCAGGGGTCCCTGGCCCCTGAGGGAGGGGTCCCCCTGAGGCTCTGGGGTATCCACGTGTATGACGGGCAGGCCCTCCATCCCACTCATCCCAGATGCTGGGCTGTCCCCACGCCTCAGGGGATGGGGAGGGGGGTTCGGGACCCTGGCCGGTGCTCAGCCATCTTGGGGAGACCACGAGTGTGTCTGGCTTCTCCCCTCCCTGCCCACATGGACTCCCCCCTCCTCCCCGACGGTGCAGTTGGCTTTCGGAAGAAGCGGAAGAGGAACACGGAACCCCAGGAGGGTAGGTCGAAGGATTGTCCTTGGGGCTTTTGGGGGGTGGGCTATTCCTTGCCTGGCGCCCCCCCCCCACTTGGCTGGGCCCCCCACAGAGGCCCTAGGGGTCCAGTCCACAGGAGGGTGCCTTTTGATCTTTTAAAAATATAGATTTTTTTTTATTGATATCAGAGAGGAAGGGAGAGGGAGAGAGAGAGAGAAACATCAATGAAGAAAGAGAATCATGGATCGGCTGCCTCCAGCTCGCCCCCTCCTGGGGATGGAGCCGGCACCCCGGGCACGTGTCCTGACGGGGAATCAAACCGTGACCTCCTGGTTCACTGGCCATCACTCAACCACTGAGCCACACGGGCCGGGCCACGTGAGGGCCCCTTTCCACAGCTCCGTGTTGTTGGCCACGGACCACACGCCCTCCGCCCGTCCCCTCCTCACCCGCCCGCTTCCTGGGGGCGGGGCCTCATTGCCTTCCTTTTGCAGACCTCAGTAAGGAGCTGATGGACTTGCGGAGGATGCTGAGGAAGAGGTGGGTGTGGGGGTCCGTGCGGGGGGGGGGGGCGGTCCCCACCCCCAGCTGCCTCCATGAGCACTTGGGGCTCAGCCCTCGCTCCGCCCTGAGCAGGGGCAGGGCGGCTGGACCGCAGGTACGGTGGGAAGAGGAATGCTCAGTGGTGGGCACACTGGGTGCCCTTCTGCCACTTCTGAGCTCCCCTCTGGGGCCTGGTTGGCTCGTTGGGGGCGACGGGGCGGTCCGCCAGGAGAGTGCGTTTAAAGCAATAGGACCATTGCCCCCAAAGGCATCTCGCGGGGATCCTCCCAGGAAGCTGGAAAGGTGGTCGGTGCCAGGCCCCAGTCTGCACGTCCCTTTCCCGGGGTGCAGGGAGGGCAGCTCCCCGGGCCCCTGGGGGTGTCCGCTCCTGAGGCTCCCCTGGCCTCTGACCTGCCAGCCCTGCTCCCCAGCGCCCCGCCTCCCAAGAAGAAGATGGACCCCGAGCAGGTGTGGCAGCTGCTGATGTCGGCGGACCGGAAGGACTATGAGCGGCTGTGCATCCAGTACGGCATCGCGGACTTCCGCGGCATGCTGCGCAAGCTGGAGAAGATGCGCCGGGAGCGCGACGACCGGATGGCGCAGGTACCCTCGCGGGCCCCGGAGCTGGGCCTGCTGCCCGGCCGCCTGCCCTCACCCAGCCCTCCCTGCGGCGTCTGGCCAGGGACCCAGGTTTCTGAGCCGACGTCCTGGCTGTGGACCTGCCCCGATACTAACTCTGGGCTTTGGAGAAGTGAGGGCCGCTGTGTCTTGGTTTCCTTGCTGGTAACAGGGGTGTTAGAGTCACAGGTGCCTCACAGGGCTGTGGAGAGGGAGTGCGAGAGGGTGCCCTGGACACACCTGGCTGAGTGCCTGACACATAGCAAGGGTTTCTTGGGAGCCATCACCACCATCACCATCATCATCATCACCACCATCATCACCATCACCATCACCAATATCACCACCACCATCATCACCACCACCATCATCACCACCACCAATATCACCACCGTCACCATCACCATCACCAATATCACCACCACCATCATCACCATCACCAATATCACCACCGTCACCATCACCATCACCAATATCACCACCACCATCATCACCACCACCAATATCACCACCGTCACCATCACCATCACCAATATCACCACCACCATCATCACCACCACCAATATCACCACCGTCACCGTCACCATCACCAATATCACCACCACCATCATCACCACCACCAATATCACCACCGTCACCATCACCATCACCAATATCACCACCACCATCATCACCACCACCAATATCACCACCATCACCATCACCATCACCAATATCACCACCACCACCATCACCATCACCAATATCACCACCATCACCATCACCAATATCACCACCACCATCATCACCACCACCAATATCACCACCATCACCATCACCATCACCAATATCACTACCACCATCATCACCACCACCAATATCACCACCATCACAATCACCATAATCATTGTACCCTCACCATTATCACCACCATCACCATCACCATCACCACCATCACCATCACCACCATCATCACCATCACCACCATCACCAACACCATCACCATCACCACCATCACCATCACCAATATCACTACCGTCATCATCATCACCACCACCACCACCATTATCACCACCATCATCACCACCATCACCACCATCACTGTCACCATCACCACCATCACTGTCACCATCACCATCACCATTTTCCCTCACCATCACAGACCTTGGGGGCCTGTCTTATTCCCAAAGGCTTCCCGTGCAGGGAATTTTAGTTCCCATCGGCGCGCTCATTCCAGCATCTTACAACCTGTACAGGAAGTTCTTTCCCGAGTCGAACCTACCTGGAGTCCAAACCTAATGTTTCCTCTGGAAACACAAAACACGTAGCTTTCATCCTCCAGAAAATGGCCTTTGATCAGACCTCCCACCTGGGGCCTCAGCTCCCTTCCTCCACACTTTCTCACCTGCTTCAACACCGGACCCAGCACAGGGCTTTACCCCCAGGAGGTGCTCAACTCACTTTTATTAGATGGAACCACTGATGAGCACCAAGCCCTTCTGTGTCCTCAGCGCCCCGGACATCTGGGTCCCTTCTTGCTCCCCTCCCCAACCTGCTGTCGAGTCTCGGAGAACTCCCTGCTCCACGGGGCTCACGCCTCCCCCCTGCGAAGCGGGACATGCTTGTTTGCCTGGGATTTGGGGGGCCCGGGGCCTGAGGGGTTGCAGTGCCCTGAAGAGAGCCCCCCCCCGGTGGGTCTGTCTCCCCTAGTACGTCAACGCCGTCTCCAACACGAAACAGATGAAGGTCACCAAGGAGGGGGTGGCGTTCTTTGAACTGGACCTGGACCTCAAGGACCCCGAGAGCAATGTCTACCTGTACAAGGTGAGGCTGGGGGGCCGCTGGCAGGGGTCTGCGGGTCCTGGGGGCAGGGACTGTGGGTTTCCTGCCCCCCGCCAGGAATAACTGAGCGCACAGGTGTGAGCCCCATGTCCCCTGGAGTTCCTGCTTGGTGTAGACTCTTACCTCTCATGGAGCCACCGGGTTCTCCAGCCAGGACACGGCTCAGTGGATAGAGCGTCGGCCTGCGGACTGAAGGGTCCCGGGTTCGATTCCGGTCAAAGGCCACATGCCCGGGTTTAGTAGGGGGAGTGCAGGAGGCAGCCGATCCCTGATTCTCTCTCGCCGCTCCAGCCACGGAGCCAGACGGCCAGGGCAGCTCTACCTCATTCTAACGTCCATTATATTATCTACTTACTCGTGGCCCGGTGCACGGATTCGTGCGCATCGAAGATCCGTGCGATAATTACATCGCTGCAAAAAACTACATGTCAAAGCAGTACATATAATGCAGCATTATAAAATCAAAATACAAAATATTTTAATATCGCCCTTCGCCAGCGAGAGCTTTACATGGATCGCGCATGCGCGAGTCAACGTTTATTTTAAATTGCCAGCGCACGTCAAGTGTACCGGCCGGCCGGTCGGACGGACGGTCGGACGTTCGGTTGGACGGTCGGACAGTCAGTCACTTAGCCTTTTATATAGATAGATGGTGCTTAGTGTCTCCCCCATAGAACTTCAGCTCCCTGGGAGCAGGGACCCTGGTCTGTTTTATCCCCTGATGGTCCGTCCCAAGTCCCTAAAACAGTGCCTGGCCCCCCGTGGGCACCTAAGTGTTAGGTGATTCGCTGGTAAGTAATTTGCTCTGTGGCCCGAGTCACGCACCTTCGTGGACGGTTTAATCCCTCCTGGCCTGCTCTGCACGCCCCCCCCCGCCCCCCCCCGCCCCCCCCCCCGCCCCCCGGCTCTCCCTCTGCTCCAGCCCCTTTAAGTCCCGGGAATATGTCGTCCGGGCCAGTGCCTGGGCCCGTGGGAGACAAGTGCCGGCTGCTGCCAGGGTGGGGGCGGGACAGGAGGTAGTGGGGACCCGCGGAGGCCCTGAACCCCCTCTTCCTCTCCTGCCGCAGGACGGGGAGATGGTCCCCTACAGCTCCGAGAGCCAGGCCAAGCGCAGCGTGAGGCGGCTGGGCAAACACTACCACTTCCAGATCCAGGACCTGTGGCCGGAGGACGCCGGCCTCTACCAGGTCAAGGTGGAGGACGCGGAGGTCTTCTCCACGGAGCTGGAGGCCAGCGGTGAGCGGCCCTGCGGGAGCCGGGGCGGGCGGGTCTGGGGGGGCATGGCCGCGCCACGGGCGGGGGAGCTGAACGGGACGATGACCGCGGGGCGGGGACCACACATCCAAGGTCGGTATTCTCTCTCTCTCTCTCTCTTTTAATAAATTTTTATTGATGTCAGAGAGGAAGGGAGAGGGAGAGAGAAACATCACTGATGAGAGAGAATCACTGACAAGCTGCCTCCTGCACGCCCCTCACTGGGGATCGAGCCCGCGACCCGGGCCTGTGCCCTGACCGGGAATCGAACCTGGGACCCTCCAGTGTGCAGGCCGATGCTCTAGCCACTGACCCACACTGGCCAGGGCCCGTCTTTCTGTTCACAGGCTAATGGGAACCCCTCTGACCCACACGGGGGTGCCAGGGGACCCTCTGAGATGACGTGTGTGTGTGTGTGTGTGTGTGTGTGTGTGTGTTGTGTGTGGCTGAGCCGCCTGGGTTTCCGACGGCCGGCCGCACCCGGGCGGGGCGGTCACACCTGCCACACGGAGGGCGGGCGGGCGGGCTGACAGCCCCTTTCCCGCTCCCCCCAGCCATCCCGCCCCGTGTGCTGGTCCCGCTGTCCGAGGCCCGCTGCGAGGAGCGGGGCGACGCCGTCTTCGCGTGCACGCTGTCCAACCCCTGCCCCCAGGCCGCCTGGCACTTCAAGCACCAGCCGCTGCAGCCCAGCGACAAGTACGAGGCATCCGTGTCCCCCGACGGGCTGACCCACCAGCTGGTGGTGAGAGGGGCCCGGCTCTCGGACATGGGCCCCTACTCCCTGGACACCGGGCTCCACGTCTCCAGCGCCTGGCTGGTGGTTGAAAGTGAGTGGGCCCTCCCCCACCTCCATCGCGGGGGGCGGGGCGAGGGGACGTCAGGCCCAGGAGGGCACGGGGGCGGGCGGGGATGGTGCCGCCACCCACTGCGGTGTGGGCCCTTCCCAGCCAGCCAGCCCCTCTCAGCTGCCTCTGGGCCTTGGGGTGACTCAGTGGCCCTGGGGGCCCAGATTGGGTGGACGAGGAGCCCCTGGATGAGGCCATAGAACACCTGTGACCCGCCCCCTCCCAGGGGTTTGGGTTCCAGGGGGTCCCAGGGGACAGTAAACTGGACAGGAGACGGTAAAATGGTTAAGGCCCCAGCAGGGCAAGTAGGTCTTTTATTTTTTTATTATCTCTGAAAACTGGTCAAATGCCATGAAACTCTTTTTTTCTTGATGTCAGAGAGGAAGGGAGAGGGAGCGAGAGAGAGAAACGTCCATGATGAGGGAGAGTCGCTGACCGGCTGCCTCTCTCACGCCCCCCACTGGGGATGGAGCCCGCAACCCGGGCATGTGACCTTGACCGGGAATCGAACCCGGGACCCTCCGGTCCGCAGGCCGAGGCTCTATCCACTGAGCCACACCAGCCAGGGCCACGTAGGTCTTTTAACAAACTACGCCACGGCTCTGCCTCCTGATGGTTTGATAAGCAAGTGATTGTATTTCCCCCCCAAATCCTCAGGGGCCACTCGGCAGGTGGGGGTGGGTGCGGGGCTGGGGAGCGGGGGTGGCGCGTCCCCATCACTGCCTGGCCCACCGGGCTCCCTGCTCCGACGGGCAGCCGGTCCCTCTGCCAGGACCTGGGGGTCAGGACAAGCAGGGGTGTGGGGACCGCTGACCGTCGTCCCCGTTAACAGCCTCCTCTCTCTCTCTCTCTCTCTCTCTCTCTCTCTCTCTCTCTCTCTCTCTCTCTCTCGGTGGCGTCGACAGCTGGGCAGGATCAAGGCCCTCTGACCACCAGTGCTGACCACCAAGCTCAGGGGCAAGGAGCCCCGGCCTCAGACGCCAAAGAGTCCAGGCGGGCCAGCGGCCAGCGGGGGGTTCCCAGAGAGCGGGGGGGCGCCCCCGGGGGGGCCGGGTGGGATCCCGGGCGCCAGCTCCCAGCCGGCCTGGACGGAGGTGGCCTTGGTGGGCACAGCTACCCCTCGATGGGGGGCGAGGGGGCAGCCGGGGCAGCCTGGGGCCCGGGGCAGGCGGGGAAGGGCTTTCTGGAAGCGGACAGATTCGCGGCCACTGTTTCCGGGGACAACCAGCTCCACGGGGAGAGGGGCTGGGACACAAGCCTCCCGGGGGGGCCCCAGTCCCAGGGAGAAGGCGCGGGGTCAGGGCTGGGCCTCACGGGAGGTCACAAGCTCGACGGTGGCAGAGACGGCGATGGGGACAGAGGCGGCGGGCCGGTGGGGGGCTGGGGGGCGGGAGGACTGGGGGGCCGTGGGGAAGGACAGGAGGACAGTGGGGACAGCAGGGGACAGCTCTGGGGTGCTCAGCTGGGACCCGGGACAGGCAAGGGGGCCCTGCAGGGGTCGCGGTCGGGCCCTGCGGGGTCGGGGGCAGAAGGGGAAGGCATGGAGAGCTTCCTGCAGGGGGAGAGCCTGGGCGGGGGCAGGGGTGAGGATGCTCTGAGCCGGGAAAGGGGGAGCGGAGCGGCCTGGGGCGCCGGGGGCAGCGGGGCTGGCCTGGGGGGGTCTGGGGACGGTAGTGTGGCCAGAGGTCCTGGGGCCCTGGGGTCCCCCGGCTCCGAGGCAGGCAGAGGCCCTGGGTCCTGGGGCTCCAGGGGACGGGGTGATGAGGACTCTGTGGACGCCAGGGGTCTTGGGGGACCATGGCTGTCTCCAGGACAGATGCCCACAGGCCAGGGCTCCCAGGGCCCCGCGATACCTGGGGGCCGAGACGCCCTCTGGGGGCGCGGGGGTCCTGAGGGTTCGAGGCAGGAGGGAGGCCCAGGAGGTCCCGGGGGCTGGGGAGGAGAGGGCCAGGGGCCAGGGCCTTGGGGCGACATGGGGTCCAGCCTCAGCCAGGCCGGGGCCCACCCTGGGCCTGGAGGAGGGAGAGGGGGTGTGGGTGGTACCCAGGCGCCCGGGCTGATGGGGTCTGGCCAGGGGGGCGATGGCAGCAGCCACGGGCTTATGGGGGCTCCAGGCCGGGGTGCTCAGGGGCCCTGGGGCACCCAGGGAGGCGCGGAGGGAGCAGGAGGCCCAGGGGCCACGGGGTCTGGACCGGATTTCTGGAATGGGGCTCAGAGCTCCGGAGAAGGGGGTCCCAGAGGTGAGGGGGGTGCCGAGGCTGGCTTAGTGGGGTCCCGGTATGGCGACGGCTCGGGGTATTTCAGGGGAACAGGCCCTGGAAGTGGGGCTGGTTCCGGCGAGGGCTCGCGGGCGCCGGGAGAGGCGGGCTCTGTGTGGGGTGTCGGGGCGCCTGGGGGCGCAGAGGCTGAGGAGGGGGGCGCTTACAGGGGCGGCTCAGGTGGCCCTGGGGGAGGGGGAGGGGAGGAGGCTGGGGTGCGACCCGAAACCTGGGGCGCCACATCCGGAGGCCCCGGGGAGGCCGGCCCTGGGGGCAGGCGACGTCCCAGCGGTGGCCTTGAGACCTCTGCTACCATGGGGGCCGGAGGGGAGGGGCATGTGGGAGCAGATCCAGGGGCGAAGGGGGCTCCTGGAGGAGGCTGGGCAGATGGCTTTGGGGGTCCCGGCGCCACGGAGCCAGGCTCTCTGAGGGCAGGGGGCGGAGGGGGCGGAGAGGGCGGTTGGGAGGGGACCCGGGGCCTTAGCTGGGACCAGTCCGGGCGCCCCAAGGCCCAGGGTCCTGGCAGCAGGCCGGGTTCTGACCGGGGTCACAGGGATGGACCGGGGATTCTGGGGCCTCAGCACCATGGAGGCGGGGGGTCAGGGGGGCCTGGGTCTGGGGGGGTGGGGCCAGCAGGTGAGGCGGGCTTTAGAAACGGCTCAGGGGGGCTTGGTGGCATAGGGTCAGGGAGCGAGGCAGGCCACAGGGACAGGATTGGGGGTGTTGGGGGGATGGGGTCAGGGAGCGAGGCAGGTTATAAGGATGGGATTGGGGGTGTTGGGGGGATGGGGTCAGGGGCCCAGGCAGGTCATAGGGATGGTTTGGGGGCTCCTGGGGGGATGGGGTCAGAGGCCCAGGCAGGTCATAGGGATGGGATTGGGGGTGTTGGAGGGATGGGGTCAGGGGCCCAGGCAGGTTATAAGGATGGGATTGGGGGTGTTGGAGGGATGGGGTCAGGGGCCCAGGCAGGTCATAGGGATGGGATTGGGGGTGTTGGAGGGATGGGGTCAGGGGACCAGGCAGGTTATAAGGATGGGATTGGGGGTGTTGGGGGGATGGGGTCAGGGGCCCAGGCAGGTTATAAGGATGGGATTGGGGGTGTTGGGGGGATGGGGTCAGGGGCCCAGGCAGGTTATAAGGATGGGATTGGGGGTGTTGGAGGGATGGGGTCAGGGGCCCAGGCAGGTTATAAGGATGGGATTGGGGGTGTTGGAGGGATGGGGTCAGAGAGTGAAGCAGGCCACAGGGATGGGATTGGGGGTTTTGGGGGGATGGGGTCAGAGAGTGAGGCAGGTCATAGGGATGGTTTGGGGGCTCCTGGGGGGATGGGGTCAGGGGCCCAAGCAGGTTATAAGGATGGGATTGGGGGTTTTGGGGGGATGGGGTCAGGGAGCGAGGCAGGTCATAGGGATGGTTTGGGGGCTCCTGGGGGGATGGGGTCAGGGGCCCAAGCAGGTTATAAGGATGGGATTGGGGGTGTTGGGGGGATGGGGTCAGGGAGTGAGGCAGGTCATAGGGATGGTTTGGGGGCTCCTGGGGGTATGGGGTCAGGGGCCCAAGCAGGTTATAAGGATGGGATTGGGGGTGTTGGGGGGATGGGATCAGGGGCCCAGGCAGGTCATAGGGATGGTTTGGGGGCTCCTGGGGGGATGGGGTCAGGGGCCCAAGCAGGTGATAAGGATGGGATTGGGGGTGTTGGGGGGATGGGGTCAGGAAGTGAGGCAGGTCATAGGGATGGTTTGGGGGCTCCTGGGGGAGTGGGATCAGGGGCCCAGGCAAGTCATAGGGATGGGATTGGGGGTGTTGGGGGGATGGGATCAGGGGCCCAGGCAGGTCATAGGGATGGTTTGGGGGCTCTTGGGGGAGTGGGATCAGGGGCCCAGGCAGGTCCTAAGGATGGTTTTGGGGGGTCCGGGGCAGTGGGGTCAGGGCTTGAGGCAGGTCACAGGGGAGGCCCCGGAGGGTCTGGGGAAACCGGGCTGGAGAGTGAGTGGGGCTCCGGGGGTGGCCCCGGGCGCCGTGGGGCAGCAGGCGCTCTGGCCTCAGTGGGACAGGAGGGGGGACCCAAAGGCCGAGAAGCCGGGGGGCCTGGGGCGGGGTCCGGGGCGGCCTCAGAGGGGCCTTACGGTGGCCCCAGCTCCGAGGGGGGCAGGGCACCGGGGCTGGTGAACGGGGCTGGCCCTGGGGTGGGCTCGGGGTTGCCCGGGGCAGTGGGCGCCGGCGGCTCTGCTTCCTCAGGGGCCCCAGGGGCTCCCGGGGACAGAGGGGCCCCCAGCGGGAAGGGCGGGTCTGCAGGTCAGGCCGGGGGCGTGGGGGCTCCTGGCTGCCTTGATGGTCCGGGGGCCATGGAGGGCGAGGCCTGGGCAGGGGCAGGGGCACTGGGATCCAGGCGGGAAAAGGGCTCCGGGAACGCAGGGGCAGGTGCGGGGACAGCAGACAGGGGCGGAGCCGCTGTCCAGGGGGGACCAGGGCGTCAGGGTGCTGGGGACTCCCTGCTGGGAGATGGGGGGGTGGCGGCCACCTCGGGGACAGGCACAGGCGAGGCCCAGGACGGAGGCCGGAGACCCGGGCAGAGGGGCAAGTCCGCGTCGGCATCTGCCGATGGGCCGGGGGTTAGCCGAGCTCGGGCCCCAGGCCGGGGAGACCAGGGTTTTGAAGGAGGCCGTGCAGGAGCCGGGAGCCAGCCCCCCGGCTCTGGGGTGGACGATGCCGCTTTCGGGGGGACCCAGGAATCGGGGGGACCCAGGGACCGGGCAGGGGCTGCCGGCCCGGGAGAGGCCGGTGGGAGGCAGGGCCCGGGGGTGCGGGACAGCAGAGGCTCAGGGGCCAGAAGCCGCCGGCCCGCTGGCCCCTGGGACGTGGACGGAGCCGGGAGCGGCCTGGATGGCCCCCTGGGCAGCAAAGACTCTGGAGACAGACCCACGGACGTCGGGGGCCCGGGGGCCCCGCCAGGCAGAGGACGGAGAGGCGGAAGGGGGCCCCTGGGGGCTGAGGCTGACAAGGCCCTGACGGAGGACGAGGCCCCGCGGGGGAGCAGGTCCCGCACGCGGGCGGGGGCCACGGCTGGAGGCGCGGAGAGGCGGGCGCAGGAGGAGGCCGGAGGCCGGGGGCCACGGCCAGGAGCAGAGGACGGAGCAGAGGACACGGGGAGCTCCGGGGAGACCCCGCGTGAGGACGGGAGCCGAGCGGGCAGCAGGAGAGGCGGCGCGGAGGGCAGGCTGGGCGGCGGGGGCCAAGGGCAGGACGCCCCCCGGAGCCCGCGAGGCAGACACAAGATCGGCACCGGCTGCTTCTGCGAAGAAGCCCGAGGTAGGTGCCCAGCCCGGCTGGCTCCCGCGGGGACCCTGCCCGCCAGGCGCCCGCTCCTCCCAGGTCCGCCTCCAGCGCCAGGCATCTGTCCCTGCCGGTGCCCCCCAACTTGGGGGCATCTCCTCCCGGTCCAGGAAGCAGCCGCCTTCTCCTTGTGCAGGTGGGATCCGGACCAAGGGGCTTCGGGGTCCCCCCACCCCGGGCATCTGTTCAAACACATGATGTCAAAGCCCAGGGCGGTCCAACTCACGCTGGGGGTCCCCCAGGCTGTGGGCCGCCCGTCTCTGTGACTCGGGGGCCTTCCATCCACCCTGCACCCCAGATGCCCTGCTGAGAAGAGCGGGGGGTTGGGCAGAGGGCAGTTGGCAGGACCCGGGGGCCCCCAGGGGCCATGCAGGCCAGGGCCTAGGAGGCTGGGCCGTGGGGGGTCCCTGGGTGACGGCCCCAGCCTCTGTGTGTGTCTCTCCAGCCCCCCAGGGCCACTTCTCCCGGGAGCTGGCTGACACGGAAGCGCGGCTGGGGGAGGCCGCCACGCTCTCCTGTACCCTCAGCCGGGACCTGGGACCAGGCGCCTGGTTTAAGGATGGAGTCCAGGTACTGCCCGCCCCCCACCACCCCCGCCACCCCCAGCCGGGGGCAGGGCCAGAGGGAGAGCAGAGAGCAGGCCAGGCCCACGCGTCCTTCTTCGTCTTCTGAATGCACCTGGGAGCTTAGCCCACCGCCCAGTGTGTTCACAACACCCAGGATTGTAGACCCACTGTGCGCCCCGACCCCTGCCCCCCACACGCCCTGCTCTCAGCCGCCCCCAGTGCGGTTTCTGTCCCAACGACGCCTGCTGAACTCAGCGTGTCCTTTCGTTTAAAATAGTTTTTAAATTGATTTCGGAGAGGAAGAGGGAGAGAGAAACATCAATGATGAGAGAGTCATGGATCGGCCGCCTCCTGCACGCCCCCTCGTGGGGATCGAGCCTGCAACCCGGGCATGTGCCCTTGATCAGAATCGAACCCGGGACCCTTCAGTCCGCAGGCTGGCGCTCTATCCACTGAGCCACACCGGCCAGGGCTCAACGTGTCCTTTAAGGCCGCGTACAAAAGCCACTTTGTCCGCCTCACCAGGCAAGACCCCTTGGCCACGGGAGACCTCTGAGCTCTGGGGAGGGAGCGTGCCCTGGGGCTTCAGAGCTGGGGCCTCTGGTTTCATCTCTCACGTGGGCTAATGACGGGACCTCCTGCGTGAGGCTGTAGGAACCATTCAGGGAGGTGGCGGCTCACGGGGTGTGAGCACGTGGCTGGCCCAGGACCACGTTCGATGCTGGCCCGCTTGTCAGGGTGGCTCCTGCGATTGCATTGGTGACGGCCCCCGGGCGGGGTGGGGGGCGGGGGGAGGCAGAGGAGCCTGGGGGTAGGGGAGGGGGTGCTGACTGGCTCAGCTGCTGGCCTCTTTGCAGCTCAGCACCCAGGACGGACTCGTCTTCGAGCAGGAGGGCCTGGTGCGCAGGCTGCTCATTGCCCACGCGCAGGGCACCCACGCCGGGAGGTACAGCTTCGTGGCCGGCGACCAGAAGAGCGAGGCCACCCTGACCGTCCGAGGTGAGGCCCTGCCCACCCCTGCCCGCCTGGCGGTCAGCGCCGGGTGATACGCAAGCACCCGAGGGTGAGGCTGGTCTGCAGCCGGTGTCCAGCCCACCCTCTATCTGAGAAGATGGTTTTATTTTATTTATTAATTAATTAACATATTTTTAATTGATTTCAGAGAAAGGACAGGAAAGGGAGAGAGAGAGAGAAACAGGAATGATGAGGGAGAATTCATGGACTGATTGGCTGCCCCTGCACGCCCCCTACTGAGGGCCGAGCCCACCACCTGGGCATGTGCCCTTGACCGGAATCGAACCCGGGACCCTTCTGCTGCAGACAACCCCCCTCAACCCCCCATTAGCCCTCAGGTTCCTCACTCTTAGCCCAGACTTCCGTCTCTGAGCCCTGCTATGCCCTCCCCCGGCTCCTGGGGCCCCGGTCTCCTTGCCCCCCTTGCCCTGTGTCACCCCTAGATCCGCCCGTCATTGCTCCGGACGTGATGGAGAGGCTGCAGGAGCCGCTGGTGGTCAAGGCGGGGAAGCCGCTGAGCGTGAAGATCGCCTTCGAGAGCCGCCTCCCGGTGCAGGCGGCCTGGACCAAGGACGGGGCCGCGGTGGACGGCGCGGGGGGCCGAGGGGCGCAGGTGGCCCTGGGCGACGGCTTCGCGCGGCTGTGCGTCCCCAGCGCCAGCAGGAGGGACAGCGGCCAGTACAGCGTGACGCTGCGCAGCCAGGGCGGCTCCGTGCAGGCCAGGCTCACCCTGCATGTCATAGGTGCCCGCCCAGCCTCCCCCAGGCCCGGGGCCCCGGCGCTGACCCCCCCCCCCCGCCCGCTGGCTGTTTAAAATCAAAGCAGCTGCCCCCCCTTCCTTCCGCAGCCTGGGGGGGGGGAGGGAGCCCTAGGCATGTGCATTCATATGTGTGAGCGTGTGCATATATGTGTGTGCATGCACGTGCATATGCATATGGTGTGTGCACATGTGAGTGTGCATATATGCACGCACGCATATGCATGTGACATGTATGTGAAAACATAGGTGCGCACATGTGCATATGGTGTGTGCATACTTGTGTATGTGTGTATGTGACTACATACACACATGTGTGGCTGTGTATGTGTGTGGCTGTGTGCGTGTGTGTGTACATGTGTCTGTGTTGGGGTAGAGACCAGGGACACCTCTAGATCCTACCTGGGCTTCTCTGGGGGTTCCCCCCAACAGCAGGCTCATTTGCTGACAGGGGTGGGGGGTACAGCAGGCTCCCCCCCAGCTCCCCTGACGCCCCTTCTCTTCCTGCTCCTCCCCCGGGTCCCAGACAAGCCCCAGCCGCCCCAGGGCCCCCTGGAGGTGCAGGACTGCCGGGGGGCTGGCGTCTGCCTCCGCTGGGGGCCCCCCCGGGACGACGGGGGCCGGGCCGTGGAGCACTACGTGGTGGAGCGGCGGCAGGCCGGCCGGAGCACCTGGCTGAAGGTGGGCGAGCCCCCCGCCGACGCCACCAGCTTCACGGACGCGCAGGTGGAGCAGGGCAAGAAGTACGCCTTCCGCGTGCGGGCGGTGACCTCCGAAGGGCCCGGCGAGGCCCTGGAGTCGGAGGAGGTGCTGGTGGCTCCCGAGGGTAAGAGGACGGACGGGGGGCGGGGGGCTCGGGCCAGGCTGGGGCCGTCTCGGGCTCCCCACTGTGCCCGGGGGGAGGGACTGTGCAGGGTCATGAGTCCTCGGCGGGCACCGTGGAGGCGCCCCCTCCCCGTGTCACTCAGGATCCGGAACAAGATGTGGGGTCTCCTCCCAGCCAGGGCTCTGCGGACGCAGGGGACCCTCACGCGAGCCCAGGTGGGGGGCCTCGTCCCCCCACAGACGCCCGTCTGGCTGGACCCCTCGGCCACAAGCTCCCCCAGACGCCCCACTGGCCCCCCGATCCTTCCTGAGCCTCCGCTGACCCTCCTCCTCCGCCCCCAGCGCGCCCCGGGCCCCCCTCGGCCCCCGCCATCCTGTCCGCCTCCAGCCAGAGCATCACCCTGAGCTGGACGGCGCCCCGAGGCCCCGGCAGCGCCCACATCCTGGGCTACCTGGTCGAGAAGCGCAAGAAGGGAAGCAACACGTGGGCGGCCGTGACCGAGCAGCCGGTGCCTGGTGAGCGGCCCCCCCTCGGCCTCCACGGTCCCCCGGGCGCCCCCTGGCTCTGAGGTCCTGGGGTGACATCGGGCCAGATGGGCCCCGAGCCGCGGGTCTCCCCGGGGGGTGTCTGCCCCTGGGGACGCGGGGAGAAGGTGGGGAGGGGCGTCCAGGGTGAGGAGGGCAGACGCTGCTCAGCACCCACGGCACCAGGACGGCCCCCTCTGCCTGCACCTCCCCCCCAACAAGGAATCGTGTGGCTACAGTGTCCACGGCTCAGAGGGGAGACCCGGGCTGGGGGGCATCTTGGGGTGGAAGCCATTAGCCTGTCCACCCCTGTCCACCCTTGACCTTGGGCAGCTCACTCCCTGCCCAGGTCTGAGCGTCTCGTCCACAGGGGAGAGGTTTAGCCCGGCCGGCGTGGCTCCGTGGCTGAGTGCCGACCTATGAACCAGGAGGTCAGGGTGCGATTCCCGGTCGGGGCACAGGCCCGGGTTGCGGGCTCCATCCCCAGCGGGGGGCGTGCAGGAGGCGGCCGATCCATGACCCTCTCGCATCATTAATGTCTCCCTCTCCCACCCTCTATGAAATCAATAAAAATACTAGGTGTGCCGGTTAGTAATGCGGATTGGCCCTTTACCGGTTAGTAATGCGGGTTTTGTCACCAAAGAAAACACGACAATTTCAAGAGAAACATCAAAAGTGCTTTGTTCAAAGTAACGCCCATCACTAGCTGCACATTTCCCCCGTCTTTCGGGTCATTTGTGGAGACCGTCCCAATAGAACTTTTCTTGTTTTGAGGCGGACCATCCAGAGACCCCATTTCCCAGGTCTTCGCACGTTTTGAAGGGCTGCTCAGGAAGTGCGGGTGCCGTCGGTCGGAACGAGTGGTCACCTGAGGGAGCAATACAGCAAAACAGCACACACATCAAGTCGCATACATATCCACACGTGTGCAACCCCCCCTATTGAGAAAAACCCGCATCATTCGCCGGTGCACCCAGTATAGTAACACAAACAAACAAAGATAACAGGTTAAGGCGCTTGCCCACGGCCACCCGGCAAGCCAGTGGCAAGGATCGGGGGCCTGACCCCTGAGCAGCGCCCGCTGCGTCTTGGCGAGGTCTGGGTCACCCCCGCGGGCTGGAGGGCAGGCCCGTGTGGGGCCCCGGGACCCCCAGGCACTGTCCGTGTCCCATCGCCTGGTCCCGCCCCCCATGGCGCCAACGTGTGGTCTCTCGCAGAGCGGAGGTGGACCGTGACGGACCTGCGGCCCGACTGCCAGTACGAGTTCCGGGTCACGGCCGTGGCTCCCGCCGGCCCCGGGCAGCCTGGGCCCCCCTCGGACCCCGTCTTCGCTCGGGACCCCATGAGTAAGTGAGACGGCAACCCTCATGGGAGGAGGGGGGTGGAGGGGAGCCGGGGGCAGCTCTGAAGCCGGGGGACAGGACAGGAGGCTGCGGGTCAGGGACCGTCGGAAGGGAATGGCCAGGCCCAGCCAGTGTGGCTCAGTGGTTGAGCGTCGACCTGTGAACCAGGAGGTCCGGGTTCGATTCCCAGTCGGGGCACAGGCCCGGGTTGCAGGAGGCAGCCGATCCGTGATTCTCTCTCATCATGGACGTTTCTGTCTCCCTCTCCCTTCCTCTCTGAAATCAATACAAATATATTAAATTGAAAAAGAAAAGGCCTCGCTGAGAGGCCTGGGAAATGCAGATCTAGATGCTTCCGTGAGAGGCAGTGGTGGCAAGCAGCTCAGAGCTCAGGACAAAGACGTACAGGATTCTCGTCTCTGGGATCCTGGGGATGGAGAAGTCACCCACGGAAGTCCCAGGTGGCAGGAATCATGGGGATGGTTGGCGGGGGAGCAGGTTGCTGAATGAGTGGAGTAATCAGGGGAGGCTCCCTGGAGGAGGTGCCACGCCTCACGCCCCCCGGTGCTCGGCCAGGACCCCCCGGGCCCGTGAGGGACCTGCAGGTCACGGACACGTCGCACACCAGCATCAGCCTGCGCTGGGCCCCGCCGGACACTCAGGACGCGGACGAGGCGCAGGGATACGTGGTAGAGCTGTGCCCCTCGGACAGCCTGGAGTGGGCCCCGTGCCATGCGGGCACCGTGCCCGGCACCACCTACACGGCCAAGGGGCTGCGGCCCCGGGAGGGCTACTTCGTGCGGGTCGTCGCCGTGAACGACGGGGGCCGTGGCCAGCCCGCCGCCCTGGACGTGGTGGTGCAGGCCATGCCGGCCCAAGGTGAGGGCCCCTCCCTCTGCGCGCCCCCACCCGCCGCTCCCCTGCCCGCCTGGCTGGTGACCGTGACCAGACAGCAGAGGGGGTGACGGGCCGTCACGTGTGTTGCAGTCAGTCCCAGGTTCCTCGTGGACTCCAGCGCCACGGACACCCTGGTGGTCCGAGTGGGGGACACCATCCGTGTGCCCGTTCGCTTCGAGGTCAGTGCCTTTGCCGAACGGGGTGGGAGGGGCCATTGCCAGCGACCGAGGGAGCCAGGCTCGGCCCTCGGTGCCCTTCTGACCGGGGCTGGCGCTGGGCCTCAGGCCACAGGGAGGGAGGGAGGCCTTAGCCAGTTTGGCTCAGTGGATAGAGCCTCGGCCTGCGGACCAAAGGGTCCCAGGTTCGATTCCAGTCAAGGGCACGGACCTCGGTTGCAGGCTCCTCCCCAGCGCGGGCCCTGGTCGGGGCGCGTGCAGGAGGCCACCCATCCATGTGTCTCTCTCACATCGATGTTTCTCTCCGTCTCTCCCTCTCCCTTCCCCCTCCCTAAAATTCCATGGAATAATATCCTTGGGGGCAGATGAACAAAACAACCAAAAAAGGAAGTTAGGGGTCTCCTCGAGGGCCCAGCCCCGCCCACACCCCTCCCAGCCCCCTCTCTGCCCCAGGTCCCCGCAGGCCCCCCACCCACAGCCCATGGACACCCCGGAACGATCCCTTCCCACGCTCCCCTCTCATCCCCCAGGCGGCCCCGCTGCCCGAGGTGACCTGGCTGAAGGACGGCCTGCCGCTGTCGCAACGGAGCGTGACGTCCACCAAGGACGGCCTCACCCAGCTCCTGGTGCCCGTGGCCGGCCTCTCAGACAGCGGCCTCTACTGCGTGGTGCTGAGGGGCCCACAGGGGCAGGAGGCCACCCACACCTTCGCCCTCCGGGTGGCAGGTAAGGCGCCTGGGCCCCAGGCCCCAGCTGTGCGCCCCCCCCACATACACCCGGCTGTGCGGGGACCGCGCCCCAACCCCCCCACCGGCTCTTTCTTTATTTTTCTATGAAAACAGCGAGGCCGCAGGCGCCGGGGCCGGTCCACCTGCAGGAGAACGTGCCGGGGACAGTGACGGCTGAGTGGGAGCCGTCGCCGGACGAGGCCCGAGGCGTCCCGCTGCACTACGCGGTGCTGATGCGCTCCGCCGCCCACGGGCCCTGGCGCGAGGTGGCCGACCGCGTGCACACCACCCGCTTCACCTTCCTGGGCGTCGTCCCCGGCCACGAGTACCACTTCCGCGTGGTGGCCAAGAACGAGCTAGGCGCCAGCGAGCCCTCGGACGCCGGCCAGCCCTGGTGCCTCCCGCGGCTGCGAGGTGAGCCCCGCGTGCACACAGCACCTCCGGGCGCCCCGGGCAGCAGGGGGTGGGGTGCCGAGGCCACGTCTCCGTGTGTCACCGGACCCGGAGTCCAGCGGGCGGCCCGGAGCTGTGGCCGCCCCTCTCCTGGCTGACCCCCCGCCCTGCCCCAGCACCGGGTCCTCTGAGTCCCTGGCTCGGGTGGGGGTCCCACCTCCGTGGGGAGAACGGAGGGGCTGTGGGTGCCTGGGAAGCCAGATGCCCTCGGGGGGCAGGCAGTGAGGTGAGCGGCTCTCGGAAAACCCAGCCAACCAGAGGAGACCTTCGATGCAGCCCCCTGGTGTCAAAAGCAATGATGAAATCGGGCGGATTTCTACAGTTGAGACATGCCCGGAAGGTTCCACCCCAAAAAGCGAGGCTATGCTGGCTTGCCACTTGTTCTCCTGTGACTTGCTCTGGGTTCTCCTGTGTCCCCAGTGGACCCGTGTTAGCTCGCGGTTAAAAGAATAAAAAAATCCCTCCTGCAGCCGGCGTGGCTCCTATGAGCCAGGAGGTCAGGGTTCGATTCCCGGTCGGGGCACAGGCCTGGGTTGCAGGCTCCATCCCCAGTGTGGGGCGTGCAGGAGGCAGCCGATCCACGATCCTCTCTCATCATGGATGTCTCTCTCTTTCTCCCTCTCCCTTCCTCCCTGAAATCAATTAAAATATTGGTTTCTTTTTAATTAAAAAAATATAAATAAAAGCGTGAGGCAAGCCTGGGGCCCGCTTTGCAGGAAGGACACGCCTGTCCCCCGCCGCCTGCCCCCCTCTGAGCCCCCCGTCTGTCCCCGCTGCTTCCCTTCCAGACAAGGTCCCGGCGAAGCCGGCCAGCTACCGGGAGCCGGACCGCAGCCAGAAGCCCTGGTTCCTGGTGGGCCTGCGCTCGCACCTGCTCCCCGCGGGCTGCGAGTGCTGCATGAGCTGCGCCGTGCGGGGCTGCCCGCCGCCCCGCGTCACCTGGTTCAGGAACGGCGAGAGCCTGGAGGGCCGCCGCGGCGCGTACAGCACCGACACGCTGGGCGTGTGCTCCCTGGTCATCCCGGGCGTGGGCCCCGAGGACAGCGGCCTGTACAAGGCGGTGGCCGAGAACGCGCTGGGCCAGGCCGTCAGCACGGCCACCCTCCTCGTCACAGGTACCCGCCGGCCTGGCCGAGGCCGGGCTCGGGGAGGAGAGGGAGGCCGGGGAGTAGCCAGCTGCCTGCAGGGGTCCCCAGGGGTGACTGGCCGCCGTGGACTCGGCCTGGGACCCGGCCCTCGCTGGCCCTCCACGTCGGCGAGTCTGTAAGGTGGTATTTGGACTGTGTCGTGGATGAACGATGCTTGGCGTCGACAGAGAGAGAGAGAGAGGCTTTGCGTTGTGTGTGCCCCGCAAACGCCCACATTCAGCGTCGGTGCCCAAAGCCATGGCGGGTCTCTCGTTGGTAAACCTCTTCACGGTGACGAAGATCACGTAGGTTACAAAGAAAACATTTCTCGCCCTGGCCGGTGTGGCCAAGTGGGTAGAGCGTTGGCCCGCGGACTGGAGGGTCCCGGGTTCGATTCCGGTCAAGGGCACGGACCTGGGTGGCAGGTTCCCCGGCCCTGGGGGTCCGGGCAGGAGGCAACCGATCGATGTCTCTCTCACACTGATGTTTCTCTCTGTCTCTCCCTCTCTCTTCCACTCTCTCTAAAAATCAACGGAAAAAATATCCTCGGGTGAGGATGAACAAAACACACACACACACACACACACACAATTTCTCCCCAATAATCTCGTAGTTTGAACATCTCATAGTTTGAACAGCCAAATCAATAACCCTAAACACTTTTAATTATTCAGAATTTTCCTTGGTACAAAAATGGTCCCTTCAGCTCCGGCCCAGCCACCCCCTCCCCCCTGCGCCCTCTGTGCCAGGCACTCGGGGGGCCCCTCAGAAGCCCCACTGGCAGAGGTGCCTCCTATCTGGGTGCTGAGGGCGGCCCGGGGCCCGGGAAGGACTGGCCTGGGCTCAGAGAGCACCTTGTGGTTCTGGATTCGAACCCACGACCCCCGTGGCAGAGCCCAGGCCTAACCCCTTTGCTGTAGGAGTGTCCCACTTAGCAGGTGGGGGCAGGGGTGCTGCCCCTCGGGGACCAGCTGGATGCCCTGGTGTCCGTGTCTTGCAGATCCCAGCTCCTAGCCCGCCTCGCCCTCGATGGCCCTGCCCGGCCACCCAGCCACGGAGGAGGACAGAGGCCTGCCCGCCACGCTGGCCGGGGAGCCAGTCCTGAGGGTCGGACGGAGGAGGATGGCACTGGAGCCCAGGGGGGGCTTCTGGGAGGTTCCCCCAGGAAAGAGGAGGAACGGGGGACACCCAGCCTCCGGCCCCACCCACGGGCTGACCGACAGGCTGACCGCGAACTCCCCCTTCCCCCTGCTGCTTCCTTCTCCCCCGAGGACACCCCCAGGGGAGCTGCCTGCAGGGGGGAGGCCGGGCCCTGGGAGGGAAGAGCTGGGCCGCTGCGACCCCAGGGAGGGGACAGGAAGGAGGTCCCAGGTCCTGGGTGGGCACAGGGCCCGGAGGGCACGTGGGGGGCTGGGGGGGCTGCTGTCTGTGCTTTAACTCATTAAAACATTGGGCGACCAGCTGCCGATGGCCTGGAGGTGTGTTTGGAGGGAGGCTCCCAGCAGAACCTGGAGACGGGGCTGCGGGGGGGGGCGGGGGGGGAGTGGGGGGGTTCTGGGTTGTGGAAAGAAGGGGGTCACGAGGCCAGCACAGTCCAGGGGGGAGGGGGGCCCTCATCCTGAGTGTGTCTCCTGTGGGTCAGTGTCTCCAGGGTACTCGGGCCGTGCTGGGCCGGGGTCCCCCCACATGCATGTGAGGATGCACCCCAGCTGTGAGCTCTCCTGTCCCAGCGAGACTCCTGCCCTCAGAGGGGCAGAGGGCCAGGGGCCAGGGGGCCCAGGGGGCCAGGGGCCCAGGGGTCCGGGGCCGGGGGGAGGGCGGCAGGGGACAGAGCCTTTGAGTCCCATCCCCCCAGTCAACCAGCCTGCCATTCCAGACCTGACCACCAGGTGGCGCTGCAGGCCCTGCAGTGGCTGGGAAGGTGGCAGACGTGAACTCTGGGCCCAGCCCCGGGCTGTCCGACCCCCCTGTCTCCCCCAGGTCTCTCGGGGGGACCTGTCTGCTGGGCAGAGGAGCCCTGGACGGGCCTGGAGGAGGGACCTGTGTGGCCGCCTCCCTCCCACCCTCGGGGGCCTCAGCCTGGCCAGACCCTCAGCCTGGGGGCTCCTGGAGGTGGGGCCTGGAGCTCGGGGTGTCACTGAGAGAGCCCTCAGCGGGGAGGTCCGGAGGCAGGACCCTTGGGGCCTGGGGGGCCTGGACCGCCTTGGTGTTTGGGTCCTGGGTGGGGGCAGGGGGCGGGGCCACCAGGCCCTGACTGACAGGTCCTCTCCTGCTGGCTCTCTGACTCCTCAGCAGCTCGGACACCCTCCTCCGTCCTGCTGGACACGGAGGCCAGCCCCCCCTCCCCCAGCAGCCCTCCCCTCTCCTTCCTGAGACAAAGCTGGGGTCCCTGAGGTCAAGGAGTGGTGTGGGGGTGCAGCCAAAGTGACCCCCTCAAGGATGGCCAAGCGGTGGCCACGGAGGAGTGAACTGGCCGGTGCAAGAGACGCCGAGGCCGGACGGGGCCAGGGGCTCAGACCCGGCCGGGTGTCGCCGCTGGACAGCGGACGGGCCTCTCTCCCGCCCCCCCTGTGCCCACCTCCCGGGTGCGGGCAGGCCGGCCGGGCGGGACGACCGACCGCAGGGCGGGGCCGGGCTGCTGACAGCCTGGGTGTCCCGGGACGCGGTGTCCTGGGTGAGGTGCTGGGATTGGGGCGCAGGCTGGGGAGGGTGGGGCCCCCAGGGCCCGGGGACAAGCTGACATTTGGCTGCCACTGATGCAGGAGCAGGGATGGGTGCGCCCTGGGCCCTCCTGCCAGCCCCCCGCCACCCTCCCGAGGGTAGCCTGCCCCCCAAACCCACAAAGCCCCTGCCTGCAACCCACCCTGACCGTCCCCTGTGGAGCCCTCCTCCCCTGGGGTCGCCCTGAAACTCAGCCTGTCCCTCCGTCCCCGTCCCCTCCGCTCCCAGCCCCATAACAGTTCCCACCCCCAGGGGCCTGTCCTCCAGGCTGGGGGTCTCCAGGGTGCCCTCCGGGGCCTTGAGGGGGAAGCACAGTGTCCCTAAGGCAGGACCCCACTCCACCCGCCTGCCTGGGGCTGTCCCTCCTCAGGGGACCCCCTGGGACCAGGGCCGAGGGAGGAGCAGGTCTGACGCCCTCAGGGCAGGGGACTGGGTGCCCCCTTCACCCTGCTGTCCCGTCCAGCTCGGCCACAGCCTCGGCCAGGACGGACCCTCCCGGCCCAAACGCTGGGGTGACGCGGGGGCTGGACCGGGTGCCGTGGGGGCAGCAGGCCTGGCCTTCGCTCCGGGAGGGGGAGCGGGGGGTGGGGGGGCCGGGCGGAGGGTGGGGGGGCCGGGCGGGGGGTGGGGGAGGGGAGCCTGCAGGCTCGGGCGTGCCCTCCCTCAGCCTCGCCTCCGAGCCTCCTGGGGAGGGCAGGTCCCCGTTCTGCTGAGCTGCCAGTTTCGCTCCCCTGGGAGCCTGTGCATGTGCGTGTGCTCGTGTGCATGTGTGTGTGTGTGTGTGTGCACGTGTGTACATGCGTGTGAGTGTGCGCGCATGTGTGTGTATGTGCATGTGCATTGTGTGTGTGTGCGTGTGCGTGTGTGTGCGTGTGCGTGTGTGTTGGCAAGGCTGCTGGCATCACCTGCCCCTGAGGCTGGGCTGCCTGGGACCCCGCTTCCCCTCTGGTGGGGAGATGCGGGCCTCCCCCCGGGTCTGGGGGCGCTGGGCTCGTCCGTTCCTGGTTGGCGGCCCGTCGTCGGCCCATCCGGGCGGTTGCAGGGGGTTAGAAAGGGCAGGGAGGACTCAGGCCGGGTGGGGGGGCCCTCCTCTGGTGCAGGTGAGCCCGGTGTGGCTTTGCTGTTCCCCCGGGGCCTCAGCTGGGGGACCCCCTCTGCCCGCCAGGCCCGTGCCGTCCATTAGGGGCCAGGCCCCGGGGCGGGGGGCTGCAGGATCTGAGGCCTGAGGAGAGCGCTGGGTTCGTGCAGTGCTCACGGGGGCTTCCCCCACCCCGGGGCCTGGAGGCCGCGGGTTAGGGTGGCGGCTGGCCCAGCCTGGAGAGCCTGCTGCTGCCCTGGCAGCCGCGCTCCTGCCCCGCCCCTGCCCCCCACTGCCCCCCCCCCCCCCCCGCCCCCCGCCTGCGTCAGGGGAGCTGTCCGCGCTTGCACTGGCTTCCCAAGCGATGAGGCAGCACCCCGCCCGCCCCACGCTGCCCGGGCTCACGCCCTGTCATTCCGGCGGCCCAGCCCCTGCCGGGCTCCCGAGACCCCCCTCAGGTCCCATGGCGCCACCCCCCATGTCCCCAGCAGGCAGTGCCCTCGGAGGAGGGGGCCGGGGGGCAGAGGGACTGGCCGGAGGGAAGTGGAGCTGCAGGTGGACGAACCCTCCGTGGGTCTGTGCTCAGCTCACGCCAGGCCCCGAGGGCGGGGCTGAGGACAGGGACCGGGAGGCAGCGAGCCCGGATGGTGGGGGGGTGGGGGGGCTGGTGTGGCCTGTGCATTCGAGAGGCCTGTGCAGGGCAGATTCTGGTAAAAATGTGCACACGGCGGGGGGGGGGGGCAGCCTTGTCACTCCCCCGGCCGCTGCTGGGACAGGACCCACCCCCGCCCCCCACACCCGTCCCTATGGCTGCCCGCGCTCCCAATTCCCGCCCTCCGCTCTCTCCCTGGTCGACTTGCGGCCACTGAGGCACGTTTTATTTCCATTTTTTAAAACATATGTTTGTTGATTTCAGAGCGGCAGGGAGAGGGAGAGAGAGATGGAAAGATCAAAGATGAGAGTCCTGGATCGGCTACCTCCTGCACGAGGCCCCCTGCTGGGGGGGTGAGCCCGCAACCCGGGCCTGTGCCCCGACCGGAATCGAACCCGGGACCCTTCAGTCCGCAGGCCACGCTCTATCCACTGAGCCACACCGGCCAGGGCTGTTTGCCGCCCTCCAAGCCCCTCTTCCCTCCAGTCCCTCCCGCCTCTGTGCCTTTTCCTCGCATCGGATGCGGCGGTTTCGAGGGTTCCCGCCGTTCTATTTTCAGCCTCAGGTGTTGTTGTTTCTCAACGTTTTATTAGACAAAGCGACTGCATCTCATTCTCCCTTTGTTTCCCTGAGCGGCCACCTCCCTCCGTCTCACGCGGTTCTGTTATGGTCCGGCCCGGATTCCCACGGCGGGAGCACGCTCTCGGAGACACGGGAGGCGGGCGAGGGGCCGGCTCCGCATCCTCGAGCTTCAGTCTTCCTCCCGGCCGGGCCCTGCCCGCCTCCCGGCCCCGGGGCCCCGCGGGCATCTTCCTAGCTGCTGCGCTGTTGCTTTTTCGTGTGACTGATGCCGACACCAGCAGCTCTGTCCGCGCCCTCTGTGCGCGCTGGTCCCAGGCAGGTGAGTCACACCTGCTCGCCATTGTTCCCGGGATTGCCTCACGCATGGCGAGCCTGCCCTCCGCCCGGGGCGTCCCAGGGACAGGGCCCTGCTTCATCCCCGGGCCCCTGTGCGCGGCTGGGCCCAGCCCTGCGTCCGTCCACCCTACAGCCCCCAAGTGGCCCCCCAGTGGCCCCAAAGTGGCCGCCAAGGGTGGGGCTGGGCTTGGAAGAGGTTAGAAAGGGCAGGGTTAGAAGTGAGAGAAGGGGTCGGGATGACCCAAAAGGGTTGGAATCGGGGCCCCAGCTGGTGCGGCTCAGTGGTTGAGCGTCGGCCTGCGGACTGCAGGGTCTCGGGTTCGATTCCCGGTCAGGGCACGTGCCTGGGTTGCAGGCTCACCGCCCAGCAGGGGGCGTGCAGGAGGCAGCCGATCCATGATTCTCTCTCATCGTGGATGTTTCTCTCTCCCCCTCTCCCTTCCTCTCTGAAATCAATACAAATATATTTTTTTAAAAAGAATTGAAAACAGGGACTCGGACAGGGACCCCCATGTTGCCAGCAGCGTTGTTGACGGGAATCTAAAGGTGGGAGCCACCGGGCGGCCCTCCAGGGTCAGTGGGCAGACACGGTGAGATCTGTGCGAACAACAGCATGTCACCCAGCCGTGGAGGGGAAGGCGCGTGGACACGGCCACGGTCCACGGGATCCTGGGAGCCACTGTGCTCCGTGGAATGGGCAGCCCCCAAAGGACGCGTGTGGTTCCACGTATGAGACCCGGAACAGCCCAATTCTGAGGGAGTGGGTGCGGGGACGGGTTGCCCGCGGTGGGGAGACACCCCCTGGGGGTCTGTAATGGGGTGCAGTGTCTGTCTGGGAAGATGCCAGCGTTCTGGGGATGATGATGGTGGCGATGGTTGCACGACCGTGGGAAGGCGCTTAATGCCTTATTTTTCTTTTTTCGCTAATCCTCACCCGAGGATATTTTTCCATTGAATTTTTTTTAGCGAGAGTGGAAGGGAGGGGGAGAGACAGAGAGAAAGAAGCATCGACTGGGGTTGCCTCCCG